GCCCGCCTTGGCCTCCCAGAGAGCTAGGATTACAGGCGTGAGCCATCGCTCCTGGCCTATTTTTCCTAATTTTTTCTAAAGCTTTCTGGGATTTTCTTCCCCAATAAGAGTAAATGTACTATATAATCATCGTAGAAAAATTAGATCATTTCCTTAGGATAGATTTCTAGAAGCAGAATTATTAAATGAAAGTATCTGAGTATTTTAGAGCTACTAATACTAAAACGTTATAGCACTTGATAATCCTCTCTGTGGTGTGCAGGAGTTCCATCACCCCCATTTGCTGGCACTGAGAATCTCCTTTCCTTTAATCTTTGTTTACTACTGAGAAAAACTATATTTCTTATTTGCATCTATTTAATTACTAATGAAATAGAATAAATTTTATACTTTTCTAGCCAATTCATTTGCATCTGTTTGATTACTAGTGAGGTAGGATAAATTGCATACCTTCATAGCCAATTCCCTCTTACATAAATTGTCCAACTTACATTTTTTAAAGTTTCTTGGCTAGGCACAGTGGCTCATGCCTGTAATCCTAGCACTCTGGAAGGCCGAGGCAGGGGGATCCTTTGAGCTCAGGAGTTCGAGACCAGCCTGAGCAAAAATGAGACCCTGTCTCTACTAAAAATAGAAAGAAATTAGCTGGACAACTAAAAATACATAGAAAAAATTAGCCGGGCATGGTGGCGCATGCCTGTAGTTCCACCTACTCGGGAGGCTGAGGCAGGAGGATCCCTTGAGTCCAGGAGTTTGAGGTTGCTGTGAACTAGGCTGACACCACAGCATTCTAGCCTGGGCAACAGAGTGAGACTCTGTCCAAAAAGAAAAAAGAAAAAAAAGTTTCTTGTAGAAAAAGTTCAACTTCTTTCCTCAGTGATCTTTCAGTTTTGGTGTACTTCTTATACAGAACTCTTTATTAAGGCTATTGACCCTTGGTATAGGTGCCCCAGACATTTTTCCCAGATTGCTTACCTTTTAATTGTTGCTATCCCTTTTTTATATTGCTTTTCAAGGTTTAAACATACAGGAGTTTTTAATTTTGCTCCTGTCAAATCCAATGATATATTTCTTTGAGATATATCTTCATGCGTGTGAGGGGAACACAGAGGGAACAGGCAGGATTAAGGATTATGCTTAAAGACAAATATAATGGTATGTGGGAAAAAAGCAAAATACAGTATTAACAAGTGGCATGATCAACCATAGCACAGAAAGAGACTGCTCAGTGGAACGAAATCTAAAAACAGGTGTATTTGAGAGTTCAGCATTCATTAAGGTGACATTTCATATCAGAATGGAAAGGATTTTCAATAAAAGGTATTAAAACTAACGACTAGCAAGTTAGGAAAAAATGGCATTAGGGCTCTATCACACCACATATCAAAGTAAACTATAAGTAGACTAGAAAATTTTAAATTTAAAAGTATCAAAAGCTAAAGGTGCTCAAAACATGTATTTATAAAGTTTTGAGGTAAGGAAGGCAATTCTTTTTATATAAATTTAATATTCTTTTTTCTTAAGTTGGACACCATTAATTGGAAGAAAGACAATTCTAGCACAAAATTAAAGACATGACCACGAAGGAAAACATTGATAAATTTGAATTATATAAAAATAATTTTAAAAATTCTGCATGGGATAAATTGAGAGAATTGAAAGGCAAACAATAAACTGAGGGAAAAAAATCTTTGCAACGTATATGAAACACAAGGGTTGTGTGTATGTGTTCGAGTAGGGTGTGTGAGATATATACAAACAATATCTCGGCTAATTCCCAAAAGAACCCAATGGGAGATATGTACTATTGCTGCCTCCATTTACAAATGGCAAACTGTAGCTTAAGGAGAGGGTAGGGTACTTAATTTGCTCCAGGCACACAGCTGGTAAACAGGGCATGGAGATTGCCCTCCCAGTCTGCTTGGATCCCTAGATCGCACCCCTCACTGAACAGACTCCAAGGAACAGAAACCTGCCATTTGTACAAAGGAGATACGCAAATGATTAATATACATGAAAGGTGTCCCCTTGAGTAGTAACCAAACAAATGCAAATTAAATAAAATAATGCAATGCCTTTAGCCACTAATTTTCAAATTAATGACCATTTAAAAGAGTAATTAATAGAGCGGGAAAGGATGCAAGGAGGTGTCATGCACACACATTGTGGTTACAATGTAAATTGGTACATTCTCTGGGGGCTATTTGCAATATACATTGAAAAATCTTAAAAATATACATCCCCTTGGACCCATACATTCCACCTCCACTTTTGCACAGATTTAATTACAAGAATGTTCATCGCAGCATGAAATACGGAAGTTTTAGAAAACAACTTAATGTCTAATTATGTATGGAATAAATTGTGGTGCGTCTATACCTCGGTTTTCTGAAATATGTCTTAGTACACATACACACAGAAAAAGATACATATCTGAAAAGATCTAATCCAACATGTTTAGAGAGACTTTAGGTGGTGGGAGCATGGGCGGAGTTTTTTGCTTCTCAGTATTTTCAGTTGCTTCAATGCTGAATACTCCTTACTCGTAAATACAAAACTTTAAAATTCTGAGTGATAAAGATGATCGGAACGTCAGGGCTCGAGTCCGAGCTTCCTTTCCTGCGCTCCTTGGCCCGCAGCGCCAGCTGCCTCGAACACCCCGGAGCGCTGCAGAGACCCGGGAAGCGGGGACCGCCCGGCGGGGAGCACGGTGCGCGGCGCAGCCCCCGTGGCGGGAGGCTCCCGCGTCTCCCGGCCGCCCCACGAGCCCCCTGTTGCGTTAAACGAGGCGGGCCCCGCCAGCTCTGCGCAGCCACTGCGGCGGGAGTTCAGACGCGGCGCGGCGCGGCGCAGACA